CCACCTTCCCACTGTCTTTAGGGCCACGGTGACCCTCCCACCTTCCCGCCGTGTCCTTAGGTCCTTGACCTGATTTCCATGTGGAATGAAATTTTGTCAGGATAGAGCATGCCTTCCTGCTTGTGTAAAAATAATAAACTTTTTTTACGTGAGAGACACTGGATCAGTGGAGAAAATATTTATTTAGTGCAGAGGAGGCCAAGGAGAAAAACATTTCACACTGTGCCTTCTGAAGCGACCAGTGTGAGCACCTCGGTGTATTTTCTTCTGGGCACTTTCTCCATGTGTGTGCACATGCTGGCCGAGAGAAGTGGGTGAAACCCACGCAGGTAAAGAGCGTCTGGGCCACGGCCGAGGACGGCGGCCTGGGAAGCGCCTCCAGGTGACATCAGGAAGTGGCTCTGGAAGCAAAGGAGAGGCTCGAGGTTTTGTTTTTTTTGAGACTGAGTTTCGCTCTGTTGCCCAGGCTGGAGTGCAGTGGCACGATCTTGGCTCACTGCAACCTCCACCTCCCAGGTTCAAGTGATTCTCCCGCCTCAGCCTCCTGAGTAGCTGGGATTACAGGTGCGTGCCACCACACCGGGCTGATTTTTGCGTCTTTAGTAGAGACAGGGTTTCACCAATGTTGGTCAGGCAGGTCTTGAACTCCTGACCTCATGATCCACCTGCCTCAGCCTCCCAAAGTGCTGGGATCACAGGCGCAAGCCACCACGCGCAGCTGAGGCTCAAGGTTTTTTTTTTTTTTTTGAGACGGAGTTTCGCTCTTGTAACCCAGGCTGGAGTGCAATGGCGCGATGTCGGCTCACCGCAACCTCCGCCTCCTGCTTTCAGGCAATTCTCCTGCCTCAGAGGCTCGAGGTTTTAAAGAAAAAAGGATGAATCAGGAGAGGGGTGATGACAGAAGTGGCTCTTTGTGAGTTCTCCGGCTCACAGCAATGGCACTAGTGCGGACTGGCCATGTGCTGCTGGGCTATGGGTGTGAGTTGTGTCCCGTGTGCAGCGTGGCTGGGCTTACTAATGGCCCTTGGTGGACACACTGCCGGGTCCAGGGTCCACACAGCAGCAGCTCTGAAGCGATTGCTTAGCTTGGGGGACGTGGGTGAGGCTGCTCCTCCCTTTGATGCCTCTGGGCCTGACAGTTTAAAGGGTGCACACTCAGATGAAAAGTTTCTTTTCTCACATATAAACTCTTTTCAAAACTTGTATATGTTTTCATATAAATCCTTATTATTTTATCAACAACCAATACTGCAGTGAATGTGCGTGCGAGGGCACTGGCGGCCCGGAGCAGCGTGCGGCGGGGCTGGAGGCACCCCCGGCCCGCCGGTCTGCTGACGAAGCTCTGCCAGCCTCCGGGCCCATGCGCTGGCCCTCGCCGGGGCCTCGGGCAAGGACGTGCAGCAGGGATGTGAGGCGGAGTGCACGCCCCCGGCCTCCCCACTGACCCAGCTCCCAGGCGTCGGCCGGGCCAAGGTAGTCCAAGTGTTGGGGCAGGAGCAGAAACCCCAGACCAGGCAAGGGGCTCTGGGCAGAGCGGCAGCCACCAGCCAGTCAGGGCTGTCTCCAGCCTGGGCCCTCCGTCCTGGGGGTTCTCCCCCATCTTCCCCTCCTCCCTCTGCCCCGTCCTGGGGGTCCTCCCCCATCTTCCCCTCCTCCCTCTGCCCCATCCTGGGGGTCCTCCCCCATCTTCCCCTCACCCTTCTGCCCTGTCTTGTGTGGTCTCCTCCATCTCCCTCCCTACTCTGCTCAGTCCTGGGCATTCTCCACCGTCTCCCTCTGCCCCGTCCTGGGGTCTCCTCCATCTCCTTCCCCACTCTGCCCCGCCTTGTGGGGTCTCCTATTTCCTGTACCCAAGTCTTCCTCTTTTTTCATTTACTTTGGCATTTTATGCAGAATAACTTCCAGGACTTCCCAGAGAAAGGCATCTTGGGATGAGCATTTCTGAGGCCGTCGCATCTAAAAGCACCTCTGCGCCACCTTCGTGGCCAGCAGTCACTTGTTTCCCTCCGCCAGCGGGAAGGCCTGTGCCCGTGCCCAGCTTCCCCCTCTGGACCTTCCACCTGGCCCTGCTTCTTTCTGCCAGACGCGGGGCCCTGGGATCTGCGGGTCGCCCAGGTGCGCAGAGGGCAGGTGTGCTCTCTGCGTCTGTGTCACGCCCCTGTTCTGGGAATTCCGTGAAATGTCCTTCTTGGTGCTTGCATTTCCCGCAGCTCCACACTTCCAGCTGGTTCTGGAGTTTTCTGTCCCATTCGCTTCGATTTTCCGCGCCCCTGGCCGGGCGCCGACGTTGCAGGGTGGTTTCTCACCTTTGCTCTCTAACCCTGTGACTGAGGCTTTCTAACCCCGTGGGCGTTTTCTGAACGTCCCGTTCTGTGCTCGTCGTGATGAGTCTGCACAGCCTGTGGCATCTGTGGCTTTGTTCTGGTGCCAGAGTCTTTCCTGGCGACCCCAGGTTAGGAAGCCCGTGGCCTGCGTGTCTTCAGCCTTTTCTCTAATCCCTGCTTGAAGCGGGGCGTGGCCTCAGCTCAGCGCTCACCCACTGCCCCCCACATGGCCAGGATCACCCCACTCCAGCCCCTTTCCTGCCACACCCCCTCCCCCATCTCGTGGAGTCTGGGGACTGGCCTCTGCTCTTCTCAGACCCTGCCACTCCTGCCTCCTTCCCAGCCTCATGCTGAGGGTCACACCTGGAAGATGCTTGCAGGCCTTAGTGCCGTCTGGAGAGGGCACATGTCCCACTCTGCAGTCTTCACCCAGAAACTCTGCACCTTGTAATCTGACAGGTGATCACACTGTGCGTAAGATGCACGTCTCTCTCTGTAGTTAACCTAGAAGTGCGTGCACCGTGTGGGGAAATCAGAAACAAATAGATTTTTTTTTTTTTTTCTTTTGGGACGGAGTTCCGCTCTTGTTACCCAGGCTGGAGTGCAATGGCGCGATCTCGGCTCACCACAACCTCCGCCTCCTGGGTTCAGGCAATTCTCCTGCCTCAGCCTCCTGAGTCGCTGGGATTACAGGCACGTGCCACCATGCCCAGCTAATTTTTTGTAGTTTTAGTAGAGACGGGGTTTCACCATGTTGACCAGGATGGTCTTGATCTCTTGACCTCGTGATCCACCCGCCTCGGCCTCCCAAAGTGCTGGGATTACAGGCGTGAGCCACCGCGCCCGGCCGAAACAAATAGATTTTTACACACACAGAAGACGCTGCATGCGGCGGCCTCGGCGCCCTGTACGTGGACGTGTGCTGCCAGCTCAGCCCCCAAGCCACGTCCACGTGGCTCCCACCCGATGCGCTGGGCTCCTCCCCCTCTGCTGTTAGAAACATCCCGTGTTGGACATTTCTGTGTCTGCCTCCTTCACAGTCTGTGGGTGTGGACTCTGGACACGTTCCTTGGCTTGGATGGCTGGGGTCAGGCCCTTCGTTTCCGGAGGTCTCCACGCATGGGCTGCGGCACTCCCTGCCTCCCGCCGGCCGCGCCGGAGAAAATGGAGCCCTCAGCAGAGTGTGCTCGGATCTTCTGGGCTGCAGCTGAACGTTCACGTCACATGTTTATTGATTTCTGTAGGGAATTACTTGCTCATGCTTTGGGCAGTCTTTCTGGGGGTCTGTGTTATGTGGACCCTACACGTGACATTTGTTTTCCCGCTTTGCCCTTTGTCCTCAGCTCATCTTTTAAACAACCCTTTCTACCTTAAGGTTACAGAATTATTAGAGTATTTCATCTTAGAACCTTGATGACTTGAATTTTTGTATTGAAACCTTGAAATCAATGACAGCTGGCTTTTCTGCAAGGTTGGAGGCCGGACCCGGCTCTGCCGCCGCCGCCCCTGCCCCGCCTGTGCTCCGAAGAAGCGAGATGCTGTGACTTTCTCCTCGACCCTGGCTCTGCTTGCAGACTCTGTGTGCCAGTCTCCCGCTCTCCTCTGCTGCGTATCTGGGGCCATTCGGTACCTTTCTGAGGGTTGTGAATCCAGCCAGCCATTCTCTTCTTCCCAGCAGGCCTCATCCTGGGGTGTCTGACCCGCAGCTAGCCCTGGTGTTGCTGTTTAATGACAATGGGAAGGGCTTCCCTGTGAGATTCCCACTGAATCCCATCATAATGCCTCTAAAATAAGAACCTTGGTCTTGCCACCAGGGTGAGCGGCCACAGGTGCTGTGTCCAGCAGGGCTCAACCAGGGGCTCCCCATCTTTCCCAGGCGGCCCCAAGGGGCCAAGCAGGAGAATATTTCTGGAATATGCTTAGTATACTCACCAGTTTCAAAACAGAAAGCTCCGGATCCATCGTTCAATGATTTTAATTTCCATTTCCAATGAAAATAGTTTGATGCTTGAGCGTTTGAGGCGCGTGACCACCTGTCATCAATCGTGTTGTTCTCATCACAGGCGGCCACGCCTCAGCTCTGGGCAGCATGTATGCAGGACGTGACCAGGACGCATCCCTCCCTCGGTCCTGCTAAATCCCAGAGCGCGACTCCGCTGCGTGTTTAGATACGAAACGTTCTTCCCCTGTGTCGATCAAATCATGGTCTGGGAAAGAACTAAAGTAACTCCTCAGTCCCTCGTTTCTGGCTCTGGAGAGTGGGAGACCACGGCAGGCAGCTCTGTGGGCCATCCGAGCCTGGTGTCAGTGGCTGCACACAGGCCCAGCCCACACCTGGAGATGCGGATGCGGAAAACCCGGCTGGTACTAACGCTTTGTTCCTTGGGCACAGCAATCCTGCCAGAAAGGACTGCGGCTGGCGAAGGAGAACCCGCAGTGTACAGAGGAAATGGCCCAGGATTTCAGAGGGGACCTGAGCGCCGTGGTCAGCCAGGCCAAGTGGCGGGAGGGAGAGCTGGCCAGCTGGGCCCACCCCTCCGAGTCCTGCGAGACGGTAAGAGACCCAGCGGGGCAGATGCTGTGCCTCTGGGATCCCCGCTCCTTAGGCTGTGGACATTTAGCAAGTGCCTCTCCACAAGTGGCAGTGGGCCAGGCTCTGCGGCAGTGGCCGGGCACCTGCGATGCACCCCAGCCTCTACACCCACGGCTCTCTGGAGAAGGCTCTGAGCCGACTGATGCATTTGTTACTGTACCAAACAGACCAGCCAAACAGACACACAAAGCTCCCTGTGTGTTTACCGGCTCAGTTACAAAATCCCACCCACCGCCAAAACCCCAAGCAAGTGCCGTAGCCAAGTGCAGGCCTGCAAGCTCCCAGCACCCTGCACCACCCGCCCTTAGGAGCCCAGGCCAGAGGCCTTGGACTCACCTGTCAGGACAGCATTTAAGGGGTCATGGGGTGGCCAGAGCAGGGTAGGGCCATCTGCCCGTCACACCTCGCTCAGCTCACAGGATGTGGCTTAACTGATCTACACGGTGTCTTCACGTGGTCCTAGGGCATCCCCCCATGGTGCCCCCTGCCAGGGACAATGGACCCGGGGGTCAGACACAGCCCACCTGCCCTTCCGTGGAACCCGGCCACGGCCCCACTGGGTGGCGGGGCTGCCTCTCGCTCTGCTGCCTGGTGCCCTGGTCCCTGGCTGGGCCGACCTGGGGGGCAGCAGGGCCTAAGCTGGCTCCAGGGAGGACTGTCCTCTGCTGCACTACCAGAGCCCTCCTTGTCCCTCAGGTGAGCGGCTGGACGGGGCCCCTGGACCCGGAGGCTCATCCCTCCTCACCTGTGGCTGAGTATGTGAGGAGCTGTCACCAGGAGGCTGCCTCGGTGGCTGCTGAGGCCTTCCCCGGAGCGGGCGTGGCAGTGCTGGAGCCTCATGCCCTGCGGAGACCGTGGGCATCGCAGCAGGGCTCCCAGACCCGGCTCCATCTGGAAGAGGCCCTTTCTGAGGCCGCCCCAAGCCCCAGCTCACCTCCCCTTGTCCAGAGGCCCCCAAAGCATGAGCATGCCCAGGAGGCCATGAGGAGGCCCCGTAGGCCACCCTCAGTCCCTACCCAACCACTGCCCGGCCTCCCTGGACGAGCCCTTCTGTGTAGACAGGACGGGGAGCCCCTAGGCCCAGGGCTGTGTGCTCTGTGGGACCCACTGTCTCCCCTCGGGGGCCTTCCTAGGGCAGGGGCCACCAAGGCCCACCCGGAGGACAGCTCTGCCTGCTCCTCTGAGCCCACCCAGACCCCGGCCAGCCGCCCCAGGAAACATCCCCAGAAGAAAATGATAAAGAAAATGCAAAGTTTTGAGATGCCTCAGGCCCACAGTGGCCCCAGGGACTCCTGCCAGCCAGGCCACACCGGTGTCTTTATCAAGGGCCTGGAGGTGACCAGCACTGTGGCCGCAGAGAAGGAGCCCCCGCTGGGACCGCACACCGGGAGCCCCCCAGTCACTCGGAGCCGGAGTCTGTCCTCTCCCTTGAGGCTCCACGCTGCTGAGGAGGACGGGAGGCGGCAGGTGGGCAGGTGAGGTGGCCATCCCCTCCTCTGGTCCTAGTGGCCTTTGGGTATCTAGACACTGAAAGCCATTTCAGCATTAAACTCTATTTTGCAAAGTAGAAAGTAAATCCACGGACGTCCCTCTTGGTACCTAAAGAAACACAATTTTAAGCTAGGCATTAATTACCTGCCCCCATATTCAGAGGGGACACAGAAGAGTCTTCCCTTAGGATGGTGTGTGGAGACCCGCACACCCTCACCCCGATGGTTAAGAAACTGTGTGACCACCTCCGGTTATCCTCAGCCCTCTTGCAGAAAATTACAGTGGCAAATCATGCCCCTGAAAGCAAGAAGAGTGACCCTAAAAATAACCTTTAGAAAGTTTCTAAGTGTTGAGGTGCGCCCGTGTGTCCATTACCCCACTGAAGAGGTCCCTCCTCCCTTGTCGTGCCTGTAAGAGGACACCTGCCAAGGACACCGTCTGCCCACTGGCAAGGGTGGGCGCCCTCAGCCCCTGTCTAGGCCGGATGCCATCTGGACCTCCGTCTTCCGTCCACGTGGTACTGTCGCAAGGGCTGGAGGTGGAGGGTTTCGTGAGATGCTCTGCTTGCTGGGTTGTCTTCTGTGTCTTGGGCCAGCGGTCCCCAGCCTTCTTGGCATCGGGGACCAGTTTCATGGAAGACAGTTTTCCCACAGATCACAGGGGTTGGGGGGATCGTTTTGGGATGACACCGCTCCAAGATCATCGGGCGTGAGTTAGCTTCTCTTAAGGAGCACGAACCCTAGATCCCCAGCAGGCACAGTTCACGATCGCGTTTCCGCTCCTCCGAGAATCACACCGCTGATCTGTTGGGCGGGAGGCGGAGCTCCTCACCCGCTCGCCGCCTGCAGTGGGCCCGGTTCCCGATAGGCCACAGACAGTATGGGTCGGTGGTACGGCTCGGTGGCCCAGGGCGTGGAGACCCCTGCATTAAGATCCATCAAAGAGGCCTCCTCCTCATGCCCTGAGCACAGGTTCCGTCTGAGCTGAGAAGGCCTCAGAACACTTCTGAAACACACCTTTAGGTTGCCAAACCTCAGTCTTTATCTTGTTAAAGGTAACGCTCTAGGTAGAACCTGAAGTTCTGATTTTTACCATTGGCGTGAGTGATCCAGGGGGTATCTGCCAGCTGGGCCTGAGCACGAGCTGGGGCCTTCCCAGTCCCTGAAAGGAGGGAAAACGCCAGGCGCTGTCCCTGAGTCTTAGCAGGTGGCTGCACGGACCGGCTTCTGTCTCCACTGAGCCCGTGTTTCAGGTTTGGGGGCAGCAGAATGCAGGAGGTGGGGACCCTGCCCGCACCGGGGGGTTTCCAGGCATCCCTTCCTTGGGCTTGTCCGTTTACCATCCTCGTTCTGATTTTGTTTCTGGATATTTACTGAGGAGGCTGTTGTGTGGCGGAGGCTTCAGGCCTCGCTCTGCCCGCCCATGCTGTGACCCACCAGGATTTGCTGTGATCCCAGAAACGGTGAGAATCTGTCCACTCCGGGATGCAGGAGTGAGGAACACGCTCTCCACTCTGTGTGAACGCGATGTGCTTCCATCAGCATTTCTGCCCATGGCTGTGCTTCCCGTCATTAGCGGCTTCTAAGTTTTTCCAACTTAAAAAAACAAGTAAATACAAAAACAATAGTAGACAAAATCCGCCAGCTCCCACTGGTATCACTAGGGCCGAGTTATGGAAGAAAGTCGGGGGTCAGACGCTCTGGAGTGGAGGACAGCGGTGCGCCTCACCGTTCATCAGGGTGGGGCCCCGGCTCAGGCGCAGTTGGTGGGTGCTGTCCGCGGCACAGAGCTGGGGGACACACCCAGACCCCACCTCAGCGGAACCCAGAGAACCTTCTCACGGGGGATCCCACAGCCCAGGCCGGGCCTTGGCTTCCAGGCTGCCGGAGTGTGGGCCCCGCCCTCCAGGCTCACACGCTGGCCACGGCTCAGTTGCTGAGAGTGACCGGGTGGCCCCACTCCAGCCAGCTCATGAAACCGAGCCACCGGCCTAAGTGTCCTGCATATGTTTTTGGTGAACGTAGAAGTATTCTTGGATACTTAGCATGTTTTTTAATTGCAAAAAAACAAAATTCACAAAAAATACCACCTGACTTGGGAAGCCCAGTTTTGGTCTCTGATCACAGCACCGCAGCTTTGCACGCAAGGAGCCATCCCGGCCACGCTGACCACACTGGCCAGCCCACTTCTCCACTCTCAGGGCAACACGGGTGGGTCCTCCAGGTGCTGCCCAGCCCTGGGGATGCGGACGTGGTGAGACCCTGGGCAGCCACAGGGGAGCCCACATCTCCTGCAGACGGGTGTGCTATCAGGAAGGGCTCTCCGAAGGCCCGAAAGTGCATGAGAGGCTCACCCATCACGGGAACAGAACAGGCTCCTACAAAGCATGCTCAGCATCCCCTCCTCGGGACCGTCTTTCAAGGCAGGAAGACCCCAGCCAAGGCTGGAAGGGGGGCTCCACGGACGGCCATTCCTGGCGCCTAGCCTGCTGTTGTGCACCTCTGGCCACCCTGCGCCCAGCCTCACTCTCCGGCCGCTACAGCCCTGAGTCCCCCTGCAGCTGCTGCTTAGGGTGCTGAGCCCCCGGGTCAGGAGTGACTGCCGTGGAAGCTGACTTCAGAAAACCGGCTCGGTCAGCAGTGGGCGTGGACCCGAAAGCTGTTTTCTCACACGACGTCCCCCACGGCCCTCCTTGCAGGAGCCTCGCTGCTGGAAGTGCTTGCATCATCTTACTGCCAGAATCAAGCCAGCTGGAACGAGAAACCATTATGTTCAGAGTTACAGTTACGGGGCCTGGGAATCTGTCTCTTTCAGTTTCCAAAGGGATCTTTCATCTGAATGGCCATGATCAATAATAGGGAAATGTTTCACGTGACAGGGTTCTTTTTGAAACTGTCCTTATCTTTTCAAGTTACTATGTATCAAGGGAGCCGCTCCAGGTAGCAGAGCGAGGACGTGCGGACGACTGAAAGTTGCTTTTTTTTTTTTTGAGATCTTGTTGCCCAGGCTGGAGTGCAGTGGCACGATCTCGGCTCACGGCGGAAACCTCCGCCTCCTGGCTTCAAGCAATTCTCCTGCCTCAGCCTCCTGAGTAGCTGGGATTACAGGCATGCACCACCATGCCCAGCTAATTTTGTGTTTGTAGTAGAGACAGGGTTTCGCCATGTTGGTCAGGCTGGTCTCGAACTCCCGACCTCAGGTGATCGGGAGTTCACCTCAGCCTCCCAGAGTGCTGGGATTACAGACGCGAGCCCCCGCGCCCGGCCGAAGGGTTCTTTATCTTGCATCCCGCGGTTGCCGTGTGCCTCCGGTCCACGTGTGACCCTTTTGTCCCTCTGGGTTTTCATGCATTTGTCTCAGGCATGAACCGCTTTTAATAATGTGTCTGTGGGGGGCACGCGCCCTGGGATCTCTGTGTCTTCCAGCAGCCGCCTGAAGCACATCATGGCCGAGATGATCACCACGGAGCGGGAGTACGTGCGGTGCTTGGCGTACGTCATCGACAACTATTTTCCGGAAATGGAAAGAACGGACCTGCCACGGGGCCTTCGAGGGAAGCACGACGTAATTTTTGGCAACTTGGAGAAGCTCCATGACTTCCACCAGCAGCACTTCCTCCGAGAGCTGGAGCACTGCGGGCACTGCCCCTTGGCTGTGGGCCGCAGTTTCCTGAGACATGTGAGTGCAGGCCACCGCGTGGGCACCGGGCCAACTTGGTGGGTGAAGCTGGCATCAGGGAGTGGGGAGCCCATAGGGCCCACGTGTCAGGCAGTTCAGAGAACTTCAGTCCAGGTTCAGGAGCTGGCCCTGACGGGATGGTGAGACCAGCCGATATGCAGGTGCCCACACGGATAAGCCGGTGTGTGACCGGCGGCGTCCCTGCTGCCCCGGAGGAGGGGGCATCGTCCACCAACACCATCACACCCACCCCGCCAGCAGCCCTGCCCCTTTACCACTTCCAGCTGATTGGCCAGAAACAGTTTCCTGGAATCACCTTCCGGGACCAGGCCTCACCCCTTCGCAGGCCCCCTGCCCCTGGCTGCCCTGTTACCTGCCAGAGGGACCAGTTGGTCCTGTTGCGAGAACTCCCCTGTGAGACTATCAGCTGGAAGCACCTTGAATATCCAGACTCAGTGTCTCCTCGTAAGTCTCTCCTCAATGGTGAAAGTGGAGTCTCTCTACGAGAGTCTTTGATAAAGGGTTTTAATTTACTCCGGGAAGAAACCGACAGGTTTTCCACAGGCGCTCACAGAGTGCTGCGGGCAGATGGGACACGTGTCCCAGACCATTAAGGACAAATTATCACAATGAAAACAGCCATGGACAAAAGAAGCACATGTTACATCTTTTCAGCATTTTCTTATTTCTTTTTTTTTTGTTTGAGATGGAGCCTTGCTCTGTCACCCGGGCTGGAGTGCAGTGGTTAGATCTTGGCTCACTGCAACCTCCGCCTCCCGAGTTCAAGCAATTCTGCCCCGAGTAGCTGGGACTACAGGTGCACACCACCATGCCCGGCTAAGTTTTGTATTTAGTAGAGATGGGGTTTCACCATGCTGGCCAGGCTGGTCTCCAACTCCTGACCTTGTGATCCGCCCACCTCAGCCTCCCTAAGTGCCGGGGTTACAGGCATGAGCCACCTTGCCCAGCCTCAGTGTTTTCTTACAAGGTGCTTTTAGACATAAAGTGCAGATTCATACTGACTGTAATTGTGGCAATTTTAAATGTCTTGACAGCTTTAGCTCTTGGCCAGTGACCAAATCGTTCCAATACCCCCCACCCCTCCCAGGCCCACTGCTAGCTGCATCCTCTTCCCCCGGCCCCCAGCCCCCCGGCCCCCAGCCCCCAGCCCCCCGCCCCCCTGGAGTCTGTGCTTTAAAGACAAAATACAGAATCCTCAGCATTGAGGCTGCACCTGGTAAACTGGTCACCCCTGGAGCCCCCGTGCTGGGGACACCTGATGGTCTTTAATGAAGGAACAGGTCGCCCTTTCGCCTGATTACGGTGAGAGTCTGGAGTCTCAGGACAGCAGCAGTCACAAGTCTGACCCGGGCTGCAGGCGCCTGCCGTCCCTGGGCCTGTCACTCCCACAGCCAAGCAGTCACCTCTGCTTTTCCAGGAAGAGCAGTTCGGGATGTACGCGACCTACAGCAAGAACAAGCCCCAGTCGGACGCCCTGCTCAGCAGCCACGGCAACGCCTTCTTCAAGGTCATCCCCTCAGCCCACCCCCGACAGCCCGCCCGGCCCCCGGCCAGGCCGGAGCTGACCCTCCTGCCCCACCCTTGCAGGACAAGCAGCGGGAACTGGGCGACAAGATGGACCTGGCCTCTTACCTGCTGCGGCCTGTGCAGCGCGTGGCCAAGTACGCGCTGCTGCTCCGGGACCTGCTCAAGGAGGCCGGCCGCGGCCCGGCCCACGGGCAGGAGCTGGGCGAGCTCCGAGCCGCCGAGGTCATGGTCTGCTTCCAGCTGCGCCACGGCAATGATCTGCTGGCCATGGATGCCATCCGTGGCTGTGACGTAAGTGCCCTGAGTGCTGGCAGCCGGCAGGCTGGGGGAGTGCGAGGCGTTGGTGGGCAAGTCACACAGTTTTCTTGGTGATGCACTGGCAGATTTGCCCAGGAGAAGTCCTTCAGAGCACAGTCTTCTGAGGGCCACGGGGGTGCCACCGGGAGAGGGGCTTACCTGCCTGGGCGATGGTGGAGGCCACGGGGGCACCACGGGGACAGGGTCTTACCTGCCTGGGCGATGGTGGAGGCCACAGGGGCACCACCAGGAGAGGGGCTTACCTGCCTTGGCGATGGTGGAGGCCACGGGGGTGCCACCAGGAGAGGGTCTTACCTGCCTGGGCAATGGTGGAGGCCACGGGGGTGCCATGGGGACAGGGTCTTACCTGCCTGGGCGGTGGTGGAGGCCACGGGGGCACCACCAGGAGAGGGGCTTACCTGCCTTGGCGATGGTGGAGGCCACAGGGGTGCCACCAGGAGAGGGTCTTACCTGCCTGGGCGGTGGTGAGAGCAGCAGGGCTTGAGGTGCTGGAGCCCTGGGTTTGCCCACGGCTGGCAGTTGTGGCTGTGTTTTCACAGGGCACATAAGGCAGGCTGGCTCTGAATGGCTGGAAGTCTGCTCACCTGGGCTGTATTTAACACAGGTGGGCATGGGCATCGCACCCCAGCCCCGTGTGAGAAGGCACGGGCACCAACCTTGGCTCGTTCATTCGGGGCCCGGGACTGGCTGCATGGGTCTCACAGGCCCCGCCGCGCAGCTTGTGTGGAAGCGCTAACCCCAGACGCCTGAAAGGCCACAGGCGAGTTGAGAAATGGCCAGTGCATGGGGACGCCAGCTGTACTCCAGCAGCCTGCCGTGTCCCCTGGCTGGGATGGGTGACACCCTAATGTCAGAGCAGGGCCGTGGAAGGTGGGTCCCCACCTCAGCTGGAGGAGGCAGGCCTGTCTCGGGCCCCCGACACCCATAGACTCGGGCTGCTTCTAGGAAGTAGCAGTCAGTCTTCCGGGTCACGTCTGTGGAGGGGCCTCAGGCTGTCCCAGTGTCCTCTGCCAAGGAGCCCCAGGGGTGTCCATGGGATGGAGGTCATGGGGGAGCTCTGCCAACTGCGTCTGTCATCCAGGTAAATTCCACAGGGGAGGGACAGCCTGCGGGGCGCAGCGGCTCCATCTCTGGGGGCTGCTGTCTGCCCTGACCCAGCATGAAGGGATTTCTGTGGGGACGAGAGAGGAGCCGTCTAGTGAGGGGATCTAGCACCATCTCAGTAGGGGATTCCAAAAACAATGGATGAAAGGACTTCAAAGTGGAAAGTTACGTAAATCAGAGAGGCTTTCCCTGTAATCTTTGCACATAAGACCCCGGAACGTGGGGGTGTGGGACCCTCAGCCCCACCCTCACCTGCTGCACAGGGCCCAGAGCGTCAGACGGGAGGGCTGTGGGAGCTGGGTGAGTTCCTGAGCTTTCAGATGTGATGCTGCAGCTTCTGTCCTGACGCTCTTTAAGACCTTTATGTCGACAGCTAACATTGAGGCAGATTTGCCAGGTTTTATGGCAGTTTGGCTGCTGTTCCGTCTTGCTTGTCACAAAGCCAACACTTTTAGACAGGGACAGTGACTTGTGTGACCACAGACGCCAGACTTCTTGGATGAAATCCAGCTGCGTGTTCCTCTGCAGGTGAATTTGAAAGAGCAGGGGCAGCTGAGATGCCGGGATGAGTTTGTCGTTCTCTGCGGGAGGAAGAAGTACATGAGGCACGTGTTTCTCTTTGAAGACCTCATCCTGTTCAGCAAGACCCAGAAGCTGGAGGGCGGCCACGACGTCTACCTGTACAAGCAGTCCTTCAAGGTAGCGCCGCACGTCCGATCGGACACAGGCCGGGCCAGGCCCTGCAAGGGGGTCCCGGACCCTTGTCTCCCTTGAGGCGAGGGGAGGAACTGGGAGGGAGAGAACCTGGGAGGAGCCGCACCGTGATGTTCTGTTTTCTGTTGTTCTTTGGTAAATTCTTGAAAACCTTAGCTTTCCGAAAGCTGCAGGACTTCCTTGTCTTCTCCAGATCGGTGCGCAGTTCAGGGGCAGAGGGGCAAGTGTCCCCTCAGTCAGGAACTGCATCGTGGGGCCTGTGCAGAGGCGAACACGGGGGCCTTCCCCGGCGCTCAGAGGTGCACGGAGGGGGCTTCGCAGGCGCACCGCGGTGGGCAGGGCTCCACTGTGACTCTCAGCTGTGCTGAGGGAGGGCAGGTCCCTCCCCTTGTGACAGAGGCCCTGAGGGTGCATGGCCTCACACACAAGCAGCCTCACTCGTGCAAGCCTCGCATACTGGCAGCTGTCCTGCACACAAGCACTCCCGCGCACACTCATGAGCAGA